AATTTATTATTATTATTATGGTCGGTGTTTCTTGTGAGAACTCAGGTCTAGCCTGGTTAACTAATCGCACGGATTAAATCAAGTAACGATTAGTGTCTGTCTGTGTCTGGTGAAGTTATGTAGGGTTCTAAAGAAAAATAAAAAATAAAATAAATATTCACACACTCACATTGGAAATCTAGAGATAGTATGTAATTCATACTTACCAACATATTATTATTATTATTATTATTATTATTATTATTATTATGACGCTGAATTTTTTTATCACTCGTTATATCAAATATATACAAAAATTTAATTACGACACACATTCAAAACAATTCCATATCTAATGCAAAATTTTAATTTTTGAGGACCCTACCCTGAAGTGATTCAATCATGTAAATATATACCACCTAACCTCTTTGTACTTGTTACAGTAATTAGGTTCAATGAGGGATAGAGTAACAATTACGGTTATCACCCCAAAATCTGACCTAATACTAATTATTACTGTGATTAGGGAATGCAATACCGGGATCCCGAAACACCGGGATCCCGCAGCATTTTTCCGGGATTAATTCCGCACATTAATGGAGCGGGATCCCGCGGGATTTGCGGGACTGAGGAATTTGAGAAAACACATAACGGAGAAGCTATTTTTTAAATAATTGTAAACTTTTTTCGTTAAAAATGTACTATGATTTTTAAGGCACTTTAGAAGTTCACCTTTTTGTGCTTTACAGGTGATTTTTTGAGTTCTAAGTTAGGCTGAAGGTACTTTTTTGTTCAATATTGTGATAATTATAGCGATTTATTTTAATACAGACCGCACAGAATTGCTTATTTGCCAATTTATTTAAAGTTTTGCGGGATCTCGCAAATACCGGGATCCCGCGGGATTAACATCTAACAATCCCGCAAATACCGGGATTGAGATTTTGCTGCGGGATTGCATTCCCTAACTGCGATCACTGACCATTTGTACCATAACACGAGCGTGAGCTTACTACTTCATGCACTACTAACACATACACGGTGTCCATTTTTGGAGTGCCACTATGGGGATCTCACTTATCTTAAGAGATAGAAAGTTGGTTAAATCGGGGCAAAGTTGCAAATTGAATGAAATGCAATATGTGCATAGCTTCAGCCATATAATACGAAAAGCCAAAAGTTGAGTAGAATCGATTCAAAATTCACAGGTTCCCTTTTCGCATCTCGACCCTTTATAAGCCGAATTGCAAACTTTTTTATTTAGTAGTAGTAGTATTTAAACGAAATTTGATACATAGGCACTTGGACTAAAGGAAAATCAAACACCAGTTTCAAAATTTGTTTTTGCGCATGTGCAGTGCCAACTTTTTTGTTAATGGGAGCATTTAAATGAAGTTTGATACATAGGCACTTGGAATAATGGAAAATCAAACGCCAGTTTCAAAATTTGTTTTTGCATCTTACAAAAAGGAAATGAATGCAAGTGGAAATGCGCTTTTTGTAAATCGTTTACGATTAACTTGTTTTCTCTTTACAACGATATATCACACATGGTGGTTCAGTATCACATTTTTCCTAAAAATACAATTTTGAATTTTTTGAGAAGAGTGCTTTGAAAAAACAAAACGTTCTTTTGTTGTGAACAAAAGGTTGACTTTTTTCATGTAGTGTCATTTAGGTTTATGTTAGTTGTATCTCCATTAAAAAGGGTCCGAATAATGTGTTAATTAGAAATGTTTACTACGATTAGTTTATCGTAAAAAAAATGAAATTTTTTTGCGATATCTTCAAAACTATTAAAGATATTTCAAATTTCTTTTCAGATTCTTATACAGCAGGAAAATTGGCAACTTTACCCCCATTTAACCAACATTCTATCTCTTAAGATAAGTGAGATCCTCGAAAAATGGACACCGTGTATAAATTAATGTTGCAACTCACTCCAGCATAATTCGATTTTGCTCATATAGCAAACGCCAGTCTTCTTTGAAAGTTCTCGAACGCTCTCGAATATTCCAAAACAAATAGGTCATCATAGGCCGCCATCTTGAATTATGGACTTCCTGTTCAGATTTAGAGGTGCCAACATCGATATTCGTGTTCAGCAGGTCCAAATTAGTAAAAAACGCCTATTTGGCCAAATGTTGTCTGAAATGCCCCTAGAACCTGTTAAAACGCTGTTTATTATAAAAGTGAACCAGTCTATTATCTTTATGTCTGATTCCCCATAAATGAAATGTATGGCCAACACAAACTCAACTCGTAAGGTTACCATGAGGGTAGTTTCGACGTATTGATGGTGACACTTGCAATAAGAATGGAAATGGAAATTGTCTAAGAGGAGCCTTAAACGATCTTGAAATTTTGTCGCAACCAGGAAAACAACTTTGGCGAACGACCTTGAAATTTTTTCTAGGCCACAAAAACACCTTTAGGCAATTTTAGTGAGAAATACTTATCCGGAATTCGTATACAAGGTTAGGCTTTTGATGCCAAACTCAAAAATTTTATTCCCGAATTCTAAATGTGAAAAGGTTTTGCGAAATCGAGCACAAAATTTTGACCAAAACGTTTCTTTTATTTTCAGCATTGTCTTAGAAGTATCGCTCCAGTTCTTATACAACCTAAACAGTAGGTAAACCAAGTCAATCGTATCAGAAAAACTAATTTGTTTTTAATGCTCGAGCTTCCTTGGACACGATTGACAAAAGCACGTGGTTATTTTCGAGTGCTATTACAATATGTATCTATGTAATTATGTCAAGTATGAGTCGTATGCAAACTTATTCATTATATAATGTAGTCGGAATTACGAATGTGTGCTAATTTGTGCGTTCTAAGTGAAATTAAAATGTGATTTTGCATTTCATTTAGAGGCAATAAGCATATTTCCAATTTAAAGGATTTCATTCATATTTATCATTTGAATACCCTTGCTAATTGGGATTATCGACGACGAACTTATAAGAAAGGAAAGGCTATAATGCACTTGAAAAAAGAATTGCAACTGCAATATCCGTGGAGGTTTATTACATGTTCCGAATAGTATGATGTAAATAGGGCAAATTGTGTCAATGTAGTTTCCTTATAACAATTTTCCATTTGTCGCTCGAATCTGAAAGTGGCAAGCACAACTTTTACGAAGGATTTTGCAAAGTAGCGTCTAATTAACCAATTAAGCTGATTAACTGCCTATTACCGATAAATATTGTTTTAGCTCGAATTCGACCTCATCCTCGCGGATGAAGGTTGCACTAACAAAATACCTAAATGCAAATAGTATCGGTAACATGATTTCCAATGAAAAATACTACAAGAGACAGGTAAAATAAGTGCGGCGGCGGTCACATAGCTTCGGTGTAGGGTGACTAGTCATCTGGGTGGGTATGTCGGGTCATGGAGACCTTCGTCAGCCGGTCAATGTGAGCGCGCTCTTCCGCGGAGCGACCTCGTGTTCCGAGGTTGCTTTTCGATATATAACACACTGTGTTAACGTGCCCCACGTAACTAACTTCTTTGACTATCGGTGATTTAGTTTCACTTGTGAGCACCAACATGCGAATAGTAAGTAGTGATTTTCTTCTTGCGTGCTAATTAGTAGTGTCGTGACAATTTACCTATGTCATTCGTAGATTTAATTTTAAACGCCTTTAAAAGTGCTAGTGGGAGTAAACTAAAATTATTGTGGAGATCATCACCGACTTCTCCACACATACTTTGTCGCTCTAAGCTGCGCTATGTTTGTGTTTTGTGTTTTTGTCGTTGGTATTCAATGGGCTTCGCTTTCGATAACTTAATCATTTACAAAATTATTTATGTAAATAATTCCGCGTGGAAGTTATTTCATTAAATGAGCGAAAAACTGTTAAATTAATGGTAATCATTTTTTTCACAAATTTATTTGTTAAATGACTATCAACACATGCTGAACTAATTGGAATAAAACTTTCACTCTCCGTGAAACTTGCTATACTGAAAACGAAATCATTTCAAAATGAATGAACATCACACTTCTATACAATTTCAGCGGATTTTATTTTAAACGATAGTGGCGTCTTAATTGATGCACACTTTTACTATATTTCTTCAAATCTGAAATGAAAGTACCTATTTGTTTTCCTCTATTTACAAATCATTGCTGTAATCGGTAGGACAAAAGGCAACACAACTGAATGGCACTCACAATGTGTTATGTAAGAGGGAGTGTGTATGGACATGGTCATTGCACACATCAAACTTAAATTTTAGTCGCTCAAAAAAGAAATTCTCGTCACACTAGAGTAGATATAGCATAACTCCTTTCCAATTCACCACCGTTAGGCCTTATTTTTCCCGTTCGTAATTTACTACCTTCTTGATGATTGTGCAGCAGGAGAAGGCGGATATTTGAACCGTAACAATTGACAAGCAATTTGGTACAAAGAAATAAGGAAACACTAACGTATTGTCTATACCTACTCTAATACGGTAAAAGTTAATTTTATTATTATTAAACCAATAACCGGCATTATTTTGCAATTTTTTTACTATCTAATTGTACTCGGACATTCCCAATGAATTGTATTAAGCGACATTACCGGCAAGTTGCTTAATTTATTAACAAAACGCAATCTATTTATAGGCACTTTCTTAATTATTTTCTTACTTTCCCAGTATACGAATTAATTTAGATGTTAATCTTTATTGTTTTCATTTATTTTTTATTGAGTACAAAACTCTTGAATTTGATTTTTTGCAATCTTTTTTAATATTTCTACATTTATAAAAATAACGCTTTGCTAATTATATATTTGTTTACGAAATTGTTTGAAGATCCTTGCGGTAACATCCCGTCTACGTTAGTGTAGCAATTGCCTCCCTGATAGTCATAATTAATGACTATTGATTACAATACACGTTTTTATGTACATACATATAGAAAGTGTACGCTAAACACCTTTATTTGGTTTTTTTAATAGTCGCCATCTTTTAGAAATGGTAAGAGCCGTTTCTCATCAATTTCACAGAGATTTTCACTTATGTATTGGTTTCTTTATTAGATATAATAATTTATCCCTGGAACTTGTAATCGCGCGATCTCATTTTGATTTGACCGGGCGAAACCCAAAATGATCTGATCTACGACTTTTTTGACATTTTTGATTTGAGAAATTATTTATTGATGTGTTTTGAATTTGAGGTTGATGCATATTGGTGTCATGTAAGTGCAGCCACCGGATTCTACAATTTTGCAAATTCCGAAATTTTCAATTGTCAATTACGTATGCAACCTTCTCCGTAAAGTTCAATGATGAAAGGAAAATTGGCGAATAGTTTTGCAAACTGTTGCGGTGGCCAGCAGCAAGAAGTCAATCTACGATATGTAATTGCTCATGCATGACATTATTTAACAATTACTTGTATTTGTAATATGGTGTTGTGAATGTAAATCAATTTTATTGGTTTCAAATAGTACCTATCTCCCTTTTAAAACGATTTTGAAATAGTAAACGTAAGACATGGTGCATAACGTGTCACACACTCGTTTTGGTCAACGCCCATATGTGAATAATCAGTTACAAACGATTAAGTGATGTTAACCTGCCATTTTGGTATAATGTAGCAAAATAAGAAAGAAAATATTATATTAGTTATTATTAATTTACAATACTGATTTATTTGCTTATGATAGGTATACGATGCGAACGGAACATGTATTGCGGTTTCTGTAGTTTATATACTTAACTTCGGAATATTTTAGCGAAAGAGATGTTCAAGAAATGGATGCATTCAGCTAGTTAGCCGTGCATTTTTTCGAAGAAATTCTTTTCCAATCTAATAATAAACTGGATCTTACTGCGCTTCGCTTTTAGCTTCGAAAAACGAAAATAATAATATTAATCATATCTATGCCGCATGAAACCTACCTAATTAGCAGCGTCGTTTGAAACCTTCTTGTTAGATATATGCAGTGTGTATCAGACCACTGGTGCCAGCTTTTTCTACAAGAACCTTTTGAGCTATGCATTTAATGAAATAAATTTCGTTCCTACACAATATACACATACCTACTCATAGAATTCAATGGCCATAATGGCAGTTGCGCGAACCGTAGAGTTATGAAAATAGTGGTCAACTTCCAACATTCAATTGATGAAAGTGTCACTGTTGCCTCGGAGGGATGGAAAATGCAATATAGTACGAAAAGACACAGTGTACAATGAATGTGAAACACAATCTAATTAGTGGTTATAAGTATTCAAACATACATTTTGGTTCTTGCACCATATTTGATAGTCATTATACCGTTTTTCACAACTATACCTTATACCTTTTTGAATTTGGGAGGCAGTAATTTCCTCGTAACTTCTTCTGCGAATGTTTTAAATAATCATTCATAGACACAGTGTACAATGAATGTGAAACACAATCTAATTAGTGGTTATAAGTATTCAAACATACATTTTGGTTCTTGCACCATATTTGATAGTCATTATACCGTTTTTCACAACTATACCTTATACCTTTTTGAATTTGGGAGGCAGTAATTTCCTCGTAACTTCTTCTGCGAATGTTTTAAATAATCATTTCTGCGCTGTTGTTTAGACAAGTCCTTAAATTAAACTGACATTTATTATTGTATTGTAACAATTGTAGCAGAATTTTTGCTTCCACAAATTAATAAATAAATAATCCCGTGGATGCCTGAACCTGAACCATCGAGATTATGGAGTATATAATATAAATGCAATTATTTCTTCATTAATTATCATGGATACTATTATTGAAACAAATTCTTTATTTGTGCTTCTCTATGAATCAAGTTTTGTGGGGTATTGGCGCTGCCAAAATACGATCGGTAAGGTGTTTGGATCAACAAGTATGATATTTTGAACCTTTATAATTATTGTTAAATGTGCCCTCTTAAATTAAAACGTTTTTTACAACAGAGGACAGCCATTCTTTTTCTTAAAATAAAAGACAATGGAACCTCGCATTCAATTGTCCATTTATAGAGAAGCTAAAATGAAATAATTGTTTTAATATATTACGAAAAAGTATGAAGATACCAAGATAAGTTTTAGAGGGATACCAATTTTCCGCACACCCCTTTTGAGGTGCGCTCTAAGGATAGAAATTATTAAAATATTTTTTTCAAAATCGGGTTAACGGTATTTATCCCGTTATCCCAACTTTCTGTATGTGAATATTGTTGCTGTGAAAGAAATGAAAAAGGAACCCAAATTTTGATACTTTTGCCGGTGCAGCTCTCAAACGTAGCATTTTGAAACTTCGGTTAATTTAATAAAGGTTTGTTTTTGTCATCTCTAACACAACAAAATGTTATCGCCATCTTGTACTCCTTCAAGGTATAGACCACCTATTGCAAAGGGGTCCGGCCGAACGGGCAGCCGGACGGAGAAAACGCAAACAATAGCACTATAGAATTCAACAGTTGGAGGAGAGAGTCTTTATTGCATTTACGGGAGTCATGCAATAAGTGCATTTTAGGAAAAAAAACAAATTAGAGTGAGTGCTTAATTCGCACCGCCATAGTATATAGCGAGGTATATAGTGTCCAATTATTCATATCAAAATAACAGTACACAGGCGTCCCAAATGGTGTTCTCCAAAAGGCATGCATTTCCAATGCCGTCGTAAATCACGTTGGATCGGTGTTTGACGGGCTAAGAACAAAGTTTTCCATGGCAGGCTTACGACTTCGTAGAGAGGTATAGGACGAACATTTCGGGCGCCCAAAACACTTGCTTAAAGTAGAAGTAGATGGAAGCATCAACAATGATCACGGTCTGACCGGTTACCCGATCATTAAGCCCTGACGCTATGATAATTTGTGTCCCCTTTCCACCAACATGAGTTTCTTAGTTCATTTTTTAGGAATTAAAAAAAATGCGCTATTGTTTGCGTTTTGTCCGTCCGGACCCACTTCTGCCGTTTCGAACTTCTTCTAGGGGAATGGTCCTAGAGTCCTGAAATTTGTTGCAGTAGGTAGCTGTCTAAAAGGGGGGCCCCTCCCACGAATTATTTCCTGAGATGCTGTTTTTGAAAGTAAAACGTGTTTTTACATACGACAACCAAGTTAAACTGTAGTAAATATTGGGGGGGGGTTCTACCCTTCATGGTATTCTAATGAAAGGTGTCATCAACACAAATTGGTTTGTACAAATTATAATTTGACTGTGCGACTCTTTCGAGATCAGTGAGTGATGAGGCCTGAGGGGGGGGGGGGGGTAAAAATTAATTTTATCTCTCATTGTATTCTAATTAAAGGTCTCAACGACGTACTTGCACTTAATTCGTGTCCTCTTATCGAATTTACGGGATGGGGGGGGGGGGGGACTATTTTTCCTTCAATTGGTACTCTAATGAAAGGTCCTCAACGAAAACAATTAATCCTAACCAACATAATGTTCCCTTCTCCTTCTCGATTTTCTTTTTTTTATAGTGATCGAGTATATTCTCTTATACCTCAAGAACGGATTGTCGGAAGAGGGTACTCACAAAGGGCGATTGAGACGTCTGCAAGAAATATATCTATTGGTGATGCCAAAACAAAAGCTATT